TCAGGCAATTTCTGCACCGATCGCGAAGTAGCCTGTAATTGTTGTTCACAAGCATAGCTTTTAATGACGATGGTGTACCATCTTCAGATTGATGGTCCGTGATCCCAGCACAACGGATTTGCATTTGTTCCTGGTCATACGTCCGGAAAAGACTTATTCAAAAGCCCATAGCTTTTTCCTCCATTTCTATTTGAGTCCGATGGTTCGCTTGGCTGGATCGATAACGAATTTTTGCAATTCCATTCATTCGTCATCAGTGATCAGCTGGTTCATCTGACCTTCGGCCAGGTCATGGACGAGTGGATGAATTTCTCGTCCAGTTTCTGCTGGAACGAAACCCTGGATTCAGCTGATTTTGGTCTTTCTCCGGTATACGATGAAGTACGGTGCTCCGCTGTGACCCCTCTCTTTCTCACTGACACGTTCAGCTGCAGATCTGCCAGGTTCAGATCGTGATCCGAACCGATGGCCTGAGGCGCAATGGACTCCGCGCTGTGTCACTTATGGCTAACAAATCGTGGTAGAAATTGGCTCTGGTATGCTCCGTCCGGTGATGGCCAGGTGTTGTGATAGATCCGTTTGTGCGGAAATAATGAATCACCGATAACGAGGTTATTTGTACAGCCAGTAATGCCATTAATATTAATAATACGTAATTTACTTTCGTTGAATACTTCTGTACGCATGTCTCATGTTTACTCAGCTTCTGGGGCCGCAGCGTTAATCGCTGCCGAAGTGGACATGCAGATCGCCGTCGACGACCGTCAGGTCATGTCTTGACAATCGACCGACAGTCATAGACCGCTAAGGTCATAAAAAGAGTCATTGTCGCCTTTCGCTGACGCATTTGTTGGCGATGCTGAGCTTGATGTACTTCTCGAGTAAATCAACAGTCGATCAGGGAGGTACTCTACTTAAACAAGGAAGCTCTTCGTGTTCGGATGGAATAGAATGGTTCCAGTCGCATCGGTTTTGTCGCTCCCGGTCTATTCATACGAGTGCCCGTTCATTCTTCATATGAAGCTGTCTGAACTCTGTCCGACGAGTCTGGTTTCTGAAATCGCGACGACATTAGCAATCGGGTACTGACATACCATCTGGACGACGTCATTCTGCCTTCTGTTTCTGTCCAAATTTGAAACCGTTCCTTCACAAAGCTCAGCGAGGAGAACGAAACATACAGGAATGGTTTTGGCAAAGAATACAGGAGCGTTGTTTCAGGCACCGGCACTTCTGAAACGCTACTGCATAGAGTACATAAGTTGTTCATACGCTGGAGTACGTAACATAGCGCATAATGCATTCAGCGCCAGATTTCGAAACATATTGCATCTCCCTCTTGCTCCTAGTTGTTAGAGGATGAGGCATTTATAGACACAACACATGTGACCGACGCTAAAATCATAATTTTGCTGCAAGCGTTTGAAAAGCAAAGGGCATTGGCTATCCACAACAAAACACTGTCCGCTCTGGCGTTCCTCGCCGTAGTTTGGGCAAAACGTCCGGCCATTCGTTGGACAGCCGTACCTTCTCTCTGAGCTTGCGTAGATGGCATGGAAATACGGTGTGCACTCAGCTGCTGCACTTTTGCCATTCTTGTCCGCACTTCCTTCAACGACCGCGTGTCGTGTTTCTCTGAATGATGACTCATCCGAGAAACCTCTCTGCTGAAGAGAGAATACCTGCACCGGCTCAGGCTTGAATTCATTATCCGTTGCTAGGTATACCACAGGTTATCCCGTCCTACAGAGCCATCAAATGCCGATCCACCCGGTTCATGTCGACTACAGGCCCCAGCAGCAAAAGCGACTGGAAGCAATGCCACGCGGAACCAAGCACTTTGACTGACGGTGACGCCGATGTACAGCGACGAAACGC